GTTGCACAACCTTGAGAATGTACTAAAAGTTGAACTGTACACTTTAAAATGTTTAAAACGGTGAGTTTTGTGTTACGCTTTATCTCAATAAAAAGTGGTTTTAATTTTTTTCCCCAAGATGAGAAGTAAAAGGCATTTTGATATGTTTTCAGATACGATATAAACCTAAGGGATTTTAATAGTACTACTGCAAAGTTAAAAGTATTTGTGTGCAAGTAACCTTTGCCTAGATCCCTGTTGATTTGGGCCAAAGGCAGGGGACACTGAACAAGGCCTGGTGAACACAAGGCCTGAAACACACCCGCCACTGGAAAAGAGGTTACATGGATGAAGCCAAGGTCCACCTGGGAAAAATGCTCCAACCAATATGCTGGCAACAAAGAGCTGCCTGCTTTAAAGCCGAAGCTGATTTCCCAGCAAGCTGTTGACTCCTAGGACTGAAAAAAACCAGCCACACACTGTAACCAATCCTCTCAGGGATACAAGTGCAGTAGCACACAGGAGGGGGGGAGTTTTCCTCCACCAGAATGTCACTTGTGCATCACACAAAATTTCTGTTGCCTTGGGAATCGTAACTTGAGTTTCCTGGCCTTCAAATTAAAAGAAGAACCTCTCAAATGTGAAAATCTAATGGCAGATTTTGCCCCCATTTAACAAAAGCCTGTTGCTTTTTCTGAGAACTACTTCACGAAATTAGCTCCCTTATTCAAACCCAATGCTATTAAAAGCTTTCCTTGAGTTTAGTGCTTTTTTGTGATTAAGGACAAATGGCTTCGGCATTATCCTTAGAACACAATGCAAATAAATCTGCTCTGTGACAAACACTTTAACTGAATGAGTCCTTCAACCAGAAAGTATTTACCACTGAAATTTTACTGAATGTCTCATGCCCCCAAAAAGTGAAAAACTGTTTTGAAGCCCTGACAGTAAAGCCGAAGGCCAAACAAACCCTATTCCCATGAGGCCTCCCAACTATGACCCAGCAAAGGAGGGCCCTGGTGTTGGGGGATCAGAGCACAGGAGCTCGGAGCCAGCGCACCAAACAGACTCAGGGGACAGGAAATTGGACACAGAGATGAAGAGCTGACTTCCACAGGCAAAAGTCCGTAATTACAGGTGTCTGAGCTGAAAACCACAAACCTGCTGCTTCTGCTAAATGACAGAAAGAAGTGACAGTGGTTACAAGGCAATGGGGTCAACAGTGTGTCTTTTGTGACATTATTGCCCAACTCCCAGTTTCCAAGTCACAGAAGAAATATGAAAACTGTGCTTCATCATTCATTCAACAAATGAGACAAAAGCTACTTGTCCCAGGTCACAACATCATCTAAGACAGAGCTGGATATATGCCTGGTCCACCCTTTTCCCTAATGCACCTGCTGTACAGTCGACCCTTTAACACTGGGGTTGGAGTGCCAAAACCTACCACCGTGCAGTTGAAAATCACATATAACTACAGTTGCCCCTAGGTATCCAGACAATTGGTTCCGGGACTCCCCAGATATCAAAATACAAAGATGCTCAAGTCCCTTATTTAAATGGCAGAGATCAATGCATAATCAACCCTCAACATTCTCTGATTCCCAACACGGATTGAAAACATTGTCTTTGATCTGCAGTTGGTGGAATCCATGGATGGGGAATCCACAAATATGGAGGGCCGGCTGTTTACTGAAAAAAATCTACATATCAGTGGACCTGCACAGTTTAAACCCATGTTGTCCAAGGGCCAACTGTACACCTGTGCTAATAAAGTGTCCTGGTCCCTCTGACTGTGAAGGCCTCAACCATCTACTCCCTTTGCACATTTTTGTTATTGCTCTCATCTGCCTGCCCACCAAGGGGAGGGGAGACAGGAATAAGGATCTGGAGAGTAAGAACCATCAGTGCAAACATTTACTGAGCTGACCAACCACATTTTCAGACACATGTCAAGGACTTCCCACATGTGATGGCAATGAGTCCTCTCGAGGTCACCTGGGAAGGCCTCTGGGCCCCAGCTGCAAAGGAATAGAAGGTGTCAACTAAATGACTATTGAACACATGACACCTTTTAACTCCATGGTTCTGAAAAACCAGACACATCAGTAAGACATCGTCTTCAAAGCCTGAACAGTTGGAGTCATCACGTGGCTGGAGATGCTAAGAGCTTCGCCTTCACACATCAGGGTGGGAAAGAAATGCCCATTTGCTGGCCCCGGTCCTCTGCAAGGTCCACTTGGGAAATATAGAAAGGCATGAAGGATGACAGCAAAATTACCTATAACCCTGCTACGCAGATGCCACGCTGCTCACCTAACTTTGCAGGACAACATCCAGGCACCCAGTCTAAGATCAGGGGACACAGGACCCTCAGAGAAAAGGAAGGTGAAGACCCTCCATTTCTGCAGTTTCAGAGAAAGCACCAACCCAATTTGATGGAGACCAGCTTTGGGCCAGAGAGATGGCTGCCAATGCTAACCTGAATTTTCCAAACTCAATTAAAACCAGAGGGAGTCTCCCCCACCCCGACCCCCGCTTTACATATTTTAACACTGTCTAATGGAATAGCAGGAACAAAGCCAAACAGCCCCACTGCTCCAGGGCACTTGGGCCAAGAAACAGAAATGTATTTTTAGTCAGCAGAGCAAGGCGAGATTCAAAGTGCACAGACCCTGGGGGTAAGCTGAGGGTCCTGCCCGCCTCTAGCACAGGGTAGTTCAGAGTCACCTGCTGCCACACTCGCGTGCCCAGTGCATGGGGCCAGAACAGGCATTTATGGGCAATCTCAGTTCCATCAATCAATTCTGCAACTTACAGGAAACTCAGGGACCCTCAGTTTCCTGTTGGTAACATGAAGATGTTCTCTGTAGCCCTGGCTTTCCACCAAGCCAGGAGCAAGGGGAGTGAAGGCAGTGCTTCTGAACTTGAATGAGTGGGCAAATGATCAGGGGACCCTGTTACAGTAGCTTCTGACCCAGTAGGGCTAAAAAAACTGTAATGGATCCTCTGGATTTATATATCTTTTTTTTTTTAATTTTTAAAAAAATGTATCTTTATTGATTTCAGAGAGGAAAGGAGAGGGGGAGAGGGAGAGAGAGATAGAAACATCAATGATGAGAGAGTCACTGACTGAGCCCACAACCTGAGCATGTGCCCCGACTGGGAATTGAACCCCGATCGTCTGGATCCTAGGTCGATGCTCAACTGCTGAGCTACGCCCGGCCGGGCTATATATCTTTTCTTGATACAAAGCTTTTATATATCTTTTCCTGTACAATGAGCTCAGCACTGATGACACTGTTGGTCCAGAAACCATACTTAATTTTATTTTTCTGAGAAAGAGAGAAACATTGATGTGAGAGAGAAACACCCATCAGCCACCTCCTGTACTCCCCTACTGGGACGGAGTCCACAACCTGGGCATGTGCCCTGACTGGGAATTGAACTGGTGATGTTTTGATGCACAGGATAATGCCCAACCAACTAAGCCACACCGTCCAGGATGAGGAACCATATTTTAAGCAGCATCTCTCATTGCTCTGCTCTGTGAACATATGAAAGATTATCATGTCCCTAATTAGCCACAGGTAGGAGAAACTCATTTAATTTAGCTAGCAATTAAACACCTTCCAGATGCTGGGCACATAGGCTAAATGGGTACAGAAAGAAAGTTAGACCTCTGCCAGGGACAATGGGCCACAGCCTTCATTCCAGCACTTCACAGGAACAAGGACTGGCTTACACATCCTGTGACCCTAAAGGTGAGATCATGCCCAGACACAAGGGGCTATGTGACAACTAGCCACTAGCCAGAAGCAGCAGCCACCACCTATCAAACACCTCCTGTGTTGTGCACAATGCCAAGAGTTTCTTAGACATTTCACTCCCCTCAAACCTCAGCCTCACGTTCCCTGTGTGTAAAACAGATCAAGAACGCATTCTGTAAATGAGGTTCAAAGAGATGAAGTTGTCTGTCTAGGACACAGAGCTGGGTCAAAATTCTAAGCCCCGTTCCACAACCCCGCAGTGTCCAGAAAGAGTTAAGCCCAAGACGGTGTTTCGCAAGGATGGAGCACCTCCTGAGCACAGGGCCTGCTGCCAGCAAAAACCGGAGATCTGCACACTACACCAGCAGTCTTATGGATGGTGCCTTCCTGCCAAGTCCCTCTGCTCAGTCTGCTGAGTCTCGGTGTCAAGAAAAGATATATACAGGTGAGCAAACGCATTATGCCGCCAGCAAAATCAAATACAAATATGCAGGGCTGGAGTGTAAATAGGAAATTCATCACACAGAGCAAGGTGCTCTGCTGAAGAACCTGCCCATATGATTTGGTCAAGGAAGTTGTTGGATCACAACTGGTTTATCTTGGAAAGATTTCTGGGGGTGTTCAAAACAAGCAAGCACCTCCTGACTGCTGAAGGGGGCACCCCTTGAGCAGAGGTTCTCAGCTGCTCCAACATGACACCCGTACGGCCTCCTTCCTCTCTCTCATTCATGTCCCTTTGCACCTTTTGCATTTCCAGTGTGTTGTCTATGATGATCGGCAGGCTGTCTGTTGTCCCATACCCGACCATGACAACTAATTCCTTACCTTTATGTTGATTTCAGCGGTCTGGGGTATTTTCTTTTTTGAAGCCATGAAAGTGAGCTGAATCATGTTACCAAGTTCACGGGCACAAAGACAAACTTACAGTTTATAATTCACACAGTTTCCTTTAATTCCACTTTACTCACCCAAAGAGTAACAGCTTAACCCCTAAGACCAAGAAATCTAATGCTATGTATCTCTGAGCATTAAAAGACCAATTTTTCCCCAAATTAGAGATGAGGCAAAACTTCCAGGTTTTAATTCTTACAGACTTCAAAACAGCAAGCAAGGCATTTGTCATGACCATTAGGCTACAAGAAGAAAGGCTGTTCTTTACCAGCAAATATAGGAACAGTTTCCCACCCAATGTCAGCAAGGTAACGCCACGGCCTCACCACCCAGCCCAGAGCCCCCAAGCGCACCACTTACAGAAAGAGAGAGACGATGTGCGATGAAGCAGCACCTAGGGACGGTATGGCTGTCAACTCATTGTTATTGAGATACCTGTAACAACACACACAAAAATAATCATTCATAATGTTTAACTTAGTAGTTTCAAACCATATACTAACATGGGAAATCAGAAAGTCAGTGCTGGCCATGGTAATGCTGCTAAAAAATGAAAAATTTAAAAGCGAGTTCTTAAAGGGAGAGAAGTCACGTGAGGTCACAAAAACTATCGCATCCATGGTTCAGAAGTAACACTCAGGGGGTGTCTCTTGTCTTCCAGGAGCTTCCAACCTAACTGAGAAATCAAGACTAACAGACAAGGAGCAGTGACAGCAGGCAAGACGCGCAGTGCACAACAGAGGTGCCCAAGATCACCAGGGAGAGTGCTCTTTGCGGACAGGAACAGTCAGGAAAGGATTTGGGGAGGATGTTCTCACAGATCCGTGACACAGTGGTCTGTGAACTGCTAACCTGCCCTCGCCAGAGGGCCACGCACTGGGACCCAGGGCTGGAGGCTCATGCCTGCGAAGCTCCCGGGGGCTTGGACACATGGGGCACTATTCTGATGCCCCGTCCGTGCAATGATGAGGGAGCTGGACTTGGACACTCTCGTCTAGTTAAGATCACAGCTTCTCTGAACTCTGATGAAGCCTCCAAACACATTTTCCAGGCATACATACATATAGACACATTTGTGCACGTGACCATTTTGAAAGTTCTCCACAGTGCTGCTCTCTCCAGGCTCCCTTCATGCTGGAACACTCTCAATCTGGAGTTTCAGAGTTCACATCTTTCAATGGAAGGGGAAGCCCGCAAACCAAAACACGGCTCACCCAGGCTGCCCCCGGAGGCTCTGCAATCCGGCCTCCTTACATGGACATGTGTTTCCAAATCTGGGAAGAGAATCCAAAATCAGACTTGTGAAGTGAGCCCAAGAATCTTTAAGAAAGCCAAGCCCCCTGGTCAGGCTTCCTGCAGTGACAGGCTGAAGAGAACTGTATCTGAGACGCAGAATCCAGGGGGATAAAGCTGGGCTTAGTCTCATTTTCTTTGAGTACGTCCTACATAGACCATCTTGTCCTGTTTTGAAGACAAGGCCACTAAAATGACAACTGTAGCCAGGCAGACATGGCTCAGCGGTTGAGCATCAACCTAGGATCCAGGAGATCGCCGTTCGATTCCCGGTCAGGGCACATGCCTGGGTTGCCGGCTCCGTCCCCAGTTGGGGGCGTGCAGGAGGCAGCCGATCAATAACTCTCTCATCATTGATGTTTCTCTCTCTCTCCCTCTCTCTTCCTCTCTCTGAAATCAATCTATATTTAAAAAATAAAAATAAAAAAATAAAAGGACAGCTGTATTCAAGTATACAGCTAGCATGTGCTTGAACAGAATAATCTGTCTCCCATCTTCTACAGAAATGAATAGAAGAAAAAAGAAAAGGCCTTGAGTGATCCCACTTGCTTTCTTCAGTGCCAATACCAGTTAGAGAGGAAGCCTGGCAATTACTGGGCCATGGGACACAGAATGTCTGTTTCAATAGCTTCATGACTGAAGGATCTGGCAGAGAGAAAGCAGATCTGTATCATGTGGCAAATCCTTTATGCACTTAAAGGGCCCTGGTTTGTGTGCTGAAGGAGATAATTAATTACTTAACAGTCTCTTATCTGACTCCCCCTAAATCAGTGTTTCTGCTTCATCTTCTCTCTCCCCAAGCCCTGCAGTGATCCATTCATACCTTAGCAAGGGGATACTGAACACTCTCCATCAGTCTGAATCTACTGATAAATTTTATGGTACCACCAATGTTCCTATTACTATGAGACCCTCAGATCTGATCAGAGCTAGCCTGCCTAAGAACTCTTCATTTCTTAGAGATTTACTCCAAAACACAGATGATGGTGGTAACAGTAACAGTAATTTAATAAGCAGCAGCCAACTTAACTGAGAGCTTATTATGTGCCAGACACAGCTCTGAGAGCTTCAATGTATTAACTCCTCTTCACCCCTAGAGAGTAGATACTGTGAACATTTCCATTGCACCGAGGATAGTGAAACATGAGATATTAAATAATGTGAGGATGGGCATGAGCAGTAAGCGCCAGTGACCCTGGGAGTCTAACCCCAAAGTCTAGATTCCTAACCATCTCTCTCTATATTTCTTTATAACTAAAGCAACCACTGGACATGCATTCTGTAACTTCATCACCACAACCCTGAATTAGGTACCAGGTACTACTACTATTCTCTGCCTTACAGGTAAGTTCTCTATCTCAAATTTCAGTTCAAGTCACAACCACCCCAGGGTCACAGATAGGAGCTGGACCCAAGTGCAAGTCAGAGGAGACCAACAAGTGAAAAGGCCAGCAATGGAAAGCTAATCCCCTCAGTGACATGGCAGTTGTGTTTCAGCCTGCTTAGGATCTGGCTTGACTGTAAACCAGAAACAAACAGTATGGACTTCTCTGCAAGGGAACTTCTGCTGAATGAGCCTGGTCTCAGGCCAGCCTCCTGCATATATGCCAAGCTGCTCCGCCCAAGTTCACAGAAAAAAATGAACAAGGAAAAGGGACATCATAATATTTCGAGTATTGAGAAAGTTGCTAGAAGCAGAGTGTACAGCGTGGCTGAACCATGCTAAAGACCAACAGGGCATCTGGTCTGGAGTAGCAGCTCGGAGTCAACAGGTAGAGGCAGAAATCACAGGCTCTAACCTGCAAAGGGCTGCTTGATTTCCAGAGAGGGCAAGTGGAACCCAGGGCTGCATGGCCAGCTTCCTCCCCAATCATGTCTATGAAAAAGAACCACGAGCTAAATGTACATCTGTTAGCTCCACAGCATGGCTTTCTTTGTCCGCCCTGTTCCCTGCTGAAATAAGAATACAATCTTCAGAAGGCAGTGGAGGCCAAACTGGCTCTGCGACACAACCCGCTTGCCAGACTGAAATAGAGACTGGTCAAAAATAGCCCAGCCGAGCCTGCAGGGAAAAGGCCCTGGGGAGGTCTGCACAGTCTCCGAGAGGAAGGAGACTGCAGGGATTTAAGACTATTTAATGAAATCTTATGAATTCTAGAACTGTGCGATCTTCTACCCTCCACATACCCCTAAATCTGCTTCCATCCAAGGCCCCAACAATCCTCTACAATGGCTGGTTCTGTAACTGATGATCCCGGTCCAAGCAATGCCCAGATGCAGCAGACCATGAATCAGCATCGTGCCCGCCCCGAGCTGAAAGAGTGGACCATAATGACCCCAGGGCAGACCTGGACGTGGGCCTTTCCCAGCCCCAGCCTTCAGGGTCCTCAGCTCTCTCTGAAACTTCCATTTACTTGGCTTGGTTAAAGGAGTTTTTACATTTTGTAAGAAGCAAAATGTGTGGGGAGAAAAAGCCATTTTAGAGTACTTTATTATTACCCAAATTAGGCTTCAACAAAAAGCAACCCCAGGAGTAATTTGGGGTTATAGAGCTTTGGGGTTTTTCTTGTTGTTGTTTACCTTATTATTTATTTATTTACTGAAGAGCTGATATAAGCACACAGTAAGACTTTCAAACCCCTTCAAAGGAGAATATCAGGAACATGGGTGAAAAATAAAGCTTCCTGGCACTTCGGCCCTCTGGTCAGCCTCCAGCAGGAAGTGCCCACTGCCAGTTGCTAGAAATGTACATGCTTTCCTTCCACACAGATGCTTGTGTCTTACAGAGACAGTCTGTCCCAGCTTCTCCCTTCATAATATGTCTTAAGATCTCCACCACTCTTTTCACGTGCAGCAGAGTACTCCTCTGCTGGCACAAACAGTATGAATGGCCCATAATTTACTTAGCCGTTCTGCTATTCACAGACACTTCAGTTGTTTCCAAACACAGAGAGAGCTGCAATTAATAACAGTCAAAGTTGGGCAGGGGATTGGGGCTTCGGTTAATTTTGTTTCTTAAAAGTCGTCAATAATAAGTAGGAGCACAGGTTTTGGGATGAAGGCTACTTAATAACTGTTATTATTAGTGCTTTTAGGTACCTGAGAACAGTGCATACTAAATAATAACTGGCAAGATTTTATGACATAGAGTTTATGTACCAGATGGCCAGACACGTTTTAGTATAGTGAAGCTTCAATCAGAAGCAATACTAATCAGGGCGAACGTCTCCTCTGTGTGCCAGGCTCCGAGCCGAGTGCCCGCCAGCCCTCTGAGGACGGTACTACATGATCACCCTGCCTTAAAAACAGAAACCAAGCCACTGTTACAGAGCAGCAGGAATTACTAGGAGGGGATTTTACAGCTCGGATTTTTTAATCAGCATTAAACCCCAATCCTACCCCTTGCCACCTGAATGGCCTTCAGCATGTCACTTAACCTTACTGTGCCTTAGTTTCCTCTTCCAAAAACTGTAAATAACACAAGGTTTTGGCAGGATCCAGATAAAATAATTAAACCTAACAGCTTAGGATATAGCCAGATACAGAGTAAATGCTTAACAGGTGGTGGTAATTCACAGCCAAAGAGGTGGTGCCTCAGAACGACTCCCCTCGTTACTCCAGCCCTCCTTCAGCACACCGCACCCACACTGGGGAGCATGTGCCTGAGACACAGGGTGAGCCACAAATACCCAGCGCAGGGCCGGCTCAGGCTGCCCTGCCGCCTACAGGAACATTTTAGGTCGATGGCCCTGGACAGCACATGGCAGCACCCACACTCAGCATTCTCAGACCAGGCAACAGTAATGTGATCCCAGCGCAGTTTTTAAAGAGGACTGTATAAATAGCCCCTCTTATTAATAGCAGAGCCTGGCTATCCGGGACCCTGGCTGCAGGCCCTCCTGGTGGGCTTTTCTCAGAGCTGTGGGCAGTGAAGCCCGTGGGGCCCAGGAGCAGCTGCACAAATGTCCTCATGTCCTCCAGGGGCCTCCAAGGGGCGCGCAGTGTCCTGTGGTCCCGGCCTCCAAAATAAAACCACCACTAAAACACCATGCCTGCTGCTCGCTAGCCCGTGGTTCCCCTCGCTGAGGCTTCCAGACTTGCACAGCTCTGCAGGGTTTAGAGCTGACAGCTCCTGGGAACCCTGAGCCCACTTCATTTAGACGCAGCTGTGTGTCGACTGTGATTTCTCCCTTCAGTACCCTTCTCCACTCCGCACCCTGACCCAGCCTCTTTCTGCCTCCACCAGGTATCATTCCTATCAGTGGGACATTCCATGGCTCTGGGCACCCGGGAATTTGTCACCCACCCCACATTGTGACACCAAGAACTGGAGGCAATCACAGTGGTAAAAAGTTCAACCTCCAGGCCCTGAAGGATTTGTTTTTTAACAATGCACCCCGCTTGCGTGGCTATGCGATTAGAAGGTAGAAGAGAAATAACCTTCAGTGCGTCCTTTCCCACGTGCAAGCCCTGGATGTCATGTCCAATCAACAAAAATGACAATAATATGTCATCATGTCCAAGCTGCACAAGGGGGAAAGGAGGCACTGAGGTGCAGTGTCCAATAAGGGACAGAACCAGACCTCAACCCAGGTCTGTCTGCTACCACGAAGTGTGCTTCTCCCACTACACAGTATTGTATCCATGCAATGCAACCCCTGCCTTTATGCCTCTCATGCTCGGAAAGGTAGTGCTGCCACAGAGGACACAGGGCAGGAGTGAGACTGGGTTCAGGTCCAGGTCTACCACAGAGGACACAGGGCAGGAGTGAGACTAGGGTGCAGGCCCAGGTCTACCACAGAGCACACGGGGCAGGAGTGAGACTAGGGTGCAGGCCCAGGTTCACCAAGCACTAGTTATGCAGTTCTGGCCAAACCTCCACACCTCGGTTCCCTCAACTGTCTATAAAAAGTATGAGTGACAGTAAGGAGTACAGTGCTTAGCACAATGACTAGCCATAGCCAACCTTCATGAGTGCAATAGCAGAGGCAGGAGAGAAGGCACACCCCAAACAGAAGGAGCACAGGAGGGGCCGGGCGTCATCCTGCCCAGAAATGCAACAGGAACTCAGGGAGGGAGGCAAGCCAAGCTGGAGGGGAGAAGAGAGGCTGAACTTGGAGGACAGGGTGGGTCTGGAGGAGTATGAGGAAATACTCTGCACCTGGAGAGAGAAGACTGGTGTAGAAAGAGGGACACAAGTTGATAAACACGGCATTTTCTGTGTCTAAAAAGCTTCAATTGAGTGTTGTGGGTTAAAATGAGGGATATAGGAGTTTAAGGTAGTACAGCTTCAGGGTTAAATGCATAAGATTTGGAATCAAATGGATTCAACTCTCAGGTCTACCAACCATGTAACACCACACAAGTATATTTCACTTCTCCCAGTTCTGTTTCCTCTTCTGTAAAGCGGGAGAAATTATTGTAAAGAAATCATTTGTATCAATCACAGTGTTAGTGTGAGGATCAGATGAGGTAGTATTTACTGAAGGTTTTGCAGGTGCTGTTATGGGTGCTGTATCTACAATCTGATTCCAAAATTATGTGTGTCGAGGTATGTTTTTCACTAAGTGTTCACAATGGTTACATCTGGGTAATAATACTGGTGATTTTAGTTAGTTAGTCTTTACACATTTCTATAGTTTCCAAATTTTCTGCAGCGGTATGCGTGATCTATGTGAAAGTGTTCTAGAGGCCCTGTAGAACTAAAATTCCTGATAATCCTTATATCCATTTTAAAGCAGAATTCTTTACATTAAAAAGAAGAAAAGATTAAGGCCTGATGTAAAGGACACTGCAAGAGGCAGCCAGCCTGGGCTCCAAAGGCAGCAATGCTCAGCTGTTCGGAGATAGGAGAGAAAAGGTAAGCTACTACTGTCCACTCTTCCGTACCTTTGTTTCCTGGGAACTATGGAGAAGTACTAGCCCGGTGTGTTAACCCAGCTGGTCCACAGGGTTTCGCACAAGGAAGGGACTCCCCTACACCCACCATGTTCTGTGATTTCCAGTAAGTCCACACCTACGGGACTGTAGCACCACCACTGATGGCCTCGGAAGGAGGTGGGCTGCAGTGAGGGAGAGCTGAGGGAACAGCACATCTGTCACGACAACATTAACACGAACGCTCCCTCTAAAAAGCTCGCTGCTGATCCAGGGGCTGCTGCTGCTGCAGTAGGAGAGGGTTTTCCCGAGGAGCTCTCCATCCCTCCAACCCCCGAGAGGTTTGGGGAAGAACACTCACACTTCCTGTAGATTCGGCAAGTCCTCAAAACTCGCAGGGTCAATCTCAGAAAGTTTGTTGTAACTCAGGTTTCTGGTAAACGGAGAGGAACAGAAAGAAAAAAACAGCTGAATCAACATTTCAACACACCCCAAATTTCAGGAATTTTCTACTCCACCCCCAAACAAAATAATGACTGCCCCTATCTCATGCATTATTTTGAGTAACTGTATTGACACCGGGATTTACAGATGTGCTCCTGCCACGTGCATCCCCATAAACAAGTCCCTGTGAAAACCTCAAGTCACCCGAGCCAGGCTAAACTCAAATGAATTTCAATCAATACTATTCTCACTTAACAACTTGAAAGAAAGTCTAAGGTAAGCCAGTCCTCTGTCTACATTAGAATGTGCTGGTCCCCATGCTCTGTACCCTATCAAGGCCAAGGCTATTCTAAGGGGCACTTTTTAATTATCATTTTTCTAAAGCATCAAGCAGTACAAAGAAAAAGAAGGGGTGGGGAACTGGCCCTTAACTATCTAAAAAGCAGTGGTTCTCAATCAGGGATGACATTTAACAATGTCTGGAGACATTTTTAGTTGTCAGAACTGCAGAGAAGGGGGTTGGCTACTGGCATCTGATGGGTGGAAGCCGAGGATGCTGCAACATCCTACAATGAGCAGAACAGCGTTTAACAGCAAACAATTATCCAGCCCTAAGTGTCAATAGTAATATTCAGAGGTTGAGAAATCTGCATAAGAACTTAAGAGTAAAAATCGCTCACATGTCTAGTCAAAGCTGAAGGGATTATTGGGAAAGTGAATGCTGGAAGATGGGAATTATAAAGCTGCACTATCAGCATGGCACTCCTGTTCTCAGTGAATAAATACTGGGAGTGACCAATCACATAGCAGAGGGGAGCCACAGTCACAGGAAATTCATGGTTGGTGTTAAACAAAGGTAGTGAAGGCCAAACATGTGAGCAGCCTTCTCAAGATTATGGCATCTGGCACAATCATTCAGTATCATTCAGTATCATTCCCTGCACCCCCCAGCTGTCCCCTCAGAGGCAGACATGCAACAAGTCGGAAAATGTGTGGTCAGGCGAGCTTCTCAGATCACGCCCTCAGCCCAGAGTAGGTTAATTAACCCACAGGACTAGAAACCACAGAGATGTGGTCCAACCGTGCTCCTGGCCACTATAATATGCCCAGTCCTGCAGAAGCCAACAAGGTTAACATTTTTCATCCCAGCTATTAATGCTACTGACATTACTACCAATTAACAGTGCTACTAATCATGAGTTTAAAGTCTAGCTCCTAAGGGACACAGTGTCACATAAGTGGCAACTATCTTTTAAACTTACTCCAGAGACAGTCCAATCAATACTAACCTAGAACTGATAGTCATTTCACTGTCAACTCAAGACATTCATCTAAATAAAAGGCGAACGACACTTGCGATGAATGGCACATATGTGTTCGGGGCATAGCCTGAATGAAAAGCAATTTGTCCAGATATTATGTTACTATAAAAAGTTGAAGGTGGTAATTTTTAAAACCACATATTGAGGTCAAGTGTGAGTTTGTCTGCACTTGGGAGTACCCAGAAATCAAGAGGTTAGAAAAGAAAATCCACAAACGGAGAGAATTCGCCCACATCATAAAAAGGACCAGACTAAAATTGTCTTCTGTTTTCAGCACATTATCATAC